GCACCCAAAAGAGGGAACAGCACATTCTGCTAACAGCATGTCAGGCAGAGGGGAAGTACGTGGTCCTGAGAGGAACGGAGGCAGAGAAAGCTGCTGTTTGATTTACTTCTGGCCCAGTTAGTTCTATCAGCTTGTCTTAGCCTAGAGCAGCAGTACTCAACCTGTGGGTCACGACCCCTTTGGGGGTCACGTATCAGATATCCTGCATATCAGATATTTTTGTTATTGTTTATAACAATAGTAAAATTACAATTATAAAGTAGCAACGAAATAATTTTATGTTGGGTGGTCACCACAACATGAGGATCTGTATTAAAGGGCTGCAGCATTAGGAAGGTTGAGAACCACTGGCCAAGAGTCACTTAAGAGATTTCCCATGTCAGACTGGCCTATGGGCAGGTCTGGTTTGGGGGTCTTGATGGTTAATTGATGTCGAGGTACCCAACCCACTGTGAGCAACACTGTTCCAAGGACGGTGGGAAAAAACCGCTAGACATGAGTCTGCAAGCCAGCCGGCCAGCAGTATTCCTCCATGGTTTCTGCTTCAACCTACTTACAGTCCTGCTCTGACCTCCTTCAGTGACAGTGTGTGACCTAGAGGTGTAAGTCAAGCAGACCCTCCTGCACCCCAATACTTTATGTTCGCCAAGGATTCATCACAGCAGCAGGGATCAAAACAGAAAACTCGGCTGCAGAGGGAAGTGGAGCGCATTGAGGAACCGTGGTCCAACCTCTAGAGAGAGATTTTGGACCAGCTGTGAAAGCGTGAACAGCATGGCTGGGGCGCGCAGACACTCGGTAGCCTTGCACACCCATCCCCCCAGCACAGGTGGCTTTGATTTGATCACTTGCCAGCTCTCAGAGCCATGGGGACACTTAGTGGAAGTGGGTCACTGATGAGCCTTTCTCACAGACATCCACACTTGCTCTGGCAGAGCACTTCCCATGTGAGCCCCCATGCAATTGGTGAGGCCACAGACATGGACAGCGGGGGTGGTGTGAGGGCAACTCTTACTAAATTGCTGGACCTGTGGGAAAAACAAAACAAAACAAAACAAAAAAAAACCAGAAAACTCTCTCTCCAAGATCGCAGACACAGATTCTGCAGGGACACCCAGTACTTAGGTTTTAGCTTCAGCTGAACGGGGTGCTTATTTGCCACCCCCTCCCATTTTACCTGGGTCTTAATTACTTTCTCTACTCATGCTTTCTTTTAAACTTAAAATCTGGATTAGATAATTGGCTCCACAGAAAACCTAAGGTATTCATGTAAAAGCAAACACACACTTCAGATATTCTAACCAATGAGTAAGTAAGACATAGTACGACATCCTAGGGGAGCAGTCCAACGCGGACACGCTTAGGTGCATCTCAAAGACTCTCACTATCAGAGAAAATGAAGGAGCTAGAGATGAAGCTGTGATGGTCAGCAGAGGGCTTGCCTAGCATGCATGGAGCCCTGGGTTCTATTGCCAGCAGCACACGCAGCCAGGCATGCTGGGGCACCCAATGCTTAGGAGGTAAAGGAGGGAATAGCAGAAGTCCAGGCCAGCTCTGGCTCCAGGAAAGAGAGAGGCTTTCCTATTTAGTATAGTTTTAACCAGAACTCTCCCCGAAGGCTCTCCCGCTGTGTCAAAGATTCTCAATAAGAACTTCTTTTGACTCCATGAGTCTCCTGTGCTAGCTGCTACACAGTTCAGAGTTTCAAAGTTCCTCAAAGGCCCATGTGTCCAAGGTCCTCGGGGAGGAAGTGAGGTCACTGAGGGCATGCCCTTGAAGAGTCCTTACATCGACCTCAGTTCCTTCCTTTTTGTTCTCCTGATGCTGTGAGGTGAGAATCCATTCTGCCATGCTCTCCTGCTATAAATCACTGTCTCTCCATAGGTACAAGAGAAACGGGTCCATGTGGTGGTATTCTAATTGTACTGAAATGTGATTTTGATTGTATGTTAATAAATAAAGTTGCCTGGGGGTCAGAGCTATTAGAGCCATAGACAGAGTGTGGCGG